GTTTGTATCGGTTTGCTTTGAGACTGCTCAATTACGTCACTTACGGTTGCTTTCTTGGACCTGTTCCTGATTCAACGAAATTGTTGCGACTATTGCCAATATCCGCAGCTTTCTCTATATCTGTACAGTTTCCTACCCATGGCTTCTTTCGATCATTCCTCAGACTTTCGGTAAGCTGGCATCTAAGGGGTTTGCGCGCTTGTTGTATTTTTAATTCTAAGGAATTGTTTTGCGATCGTCCATGCAAGGCAACCGCTGTCGGGGGGATACATCCTTTTTCACTTGATTGTGCGCTAGAATATGCCGTTGTTTTGATCCACATTTGGATCGGTCACTTGATTGTCGTCCAGTGTTCACTGAGTCCTGCGGCCGATGGTTGAGCTGGGAGGCGATCTGATAGTTCCGCTTCGAAGGCCGATTTTCAACCGTCGCGGATACTGTATTGTGGGTTTCCGTTTTGGATGGCGTTTCAGCCGTTGTTTATCAGGCGTAGGTAGAATCTCTTTCTTAGCAGAGCATGGTCCGTGTCCACGGGTGTTGGCCAGTAGGAGCAGCAGTCCTCAATGGTTAGGTGATATCTAATAGTAGTTATAGGAATATGTATATATATGAACAGTTCTTTGGTAAGTGGTGGAGATGATCAAAACAGTGACGTGGAGACCCTGGGTTCGAATTCTGCCACCTCTCTCGGTCTTCTACATTTATGTGCTTCTCCAAGCAGCCTTTGTTTGGCCACAATCCGCTTCCTGAAAATGGACGATACATTTGTAAACTTGATAAATGAGAAAGAAGTGAAGACATCATTTTTTTGTTAAGTAATCTTATCGAATGTGAGTGAGTATTCTGTCTTGAAAACACGAATTGTTGGAATATCAGCCAGTCAAATATATGTCGTGGGTGCATTCATACTGCCTGGTTTAGACAATCACAGTGCCTTGGTCGTTACCGCGAGTTACTTCTAGAGCTGTTTGTCAATTACTTTCCACTATTTGTCTATGACTAGAGCGATGTACGTTGCTATTCCAGGAGTCTCTTTTCATTTATTGCTAATACGGCGAGCTAATCGCATGTTCGTTGACCGCACCTCCTCGATCGTACATACTGTTTTCATGAAAGAAAGTTGATTTTGAGTTAAAAGAAAAGCACTATAGGAAAGAAACAAAAGCGTTAGCCGTTAGTGGCACCGAAATCAGGCAGTTGAATATATCTTAGGCAGAATAATAATGACACTGTATTGATCCATCTGCTGTGAATCGTGTATGATCCAGCACTTGGTTCTCATCATGACGAGATCGCAACTCGACGTGGTTTGATGGTTTGCGTGCCTCCATAACACTGCGACCTATACAAAATCGCTTCTCACAGTCGCAGATCCAGTTGTACCTGAAAGGTCTATGGGTATAGGTCGGAAAAAACTCAATCTCAGAAAGCAAATCAATTTGACATCTGGCTTTCTCTACGCTTCCATTTCGCCCCCTTCGCTAGATGCTCACTGGAGCGGGGTGCTTGTTGCTTTCATTCCGTGGGAGACGCTTTTGCTTCCACCAGCCCGAGCTGGAAAGCCCCCAGGCAATAAAGTACTATTGCGTTCACGTTCTCGTTTGGCTCAAGAGGCTAAGGTCCAATGCTGAAAGGGCTAACCGACAATCAACGCTTTACCGAACAGATTATTGAGCGGAAACCCCAAGGCCTTGGCTACAGGTTTCTAGAAGCCCACACAGTGATGATTGTCACATCCTCACGTATGACCTTCATCTCACTGCCTTATGGGTCGGACTTTTGAGCCAAAGGTTCTCAGAGAAAACCCTTTCCCGGTATGAGTTACCGAGTCATGTGCCGTGTCCTTAAGTCGCAGACATCAATTAGGAAAACCGTCTTTCTCCTGTNCCCCCCCCCCCCAGAGGATATCACTCAGAATTTAAGCCGTAAGACTAATCAATCAGAAGCTATTGGATTGATATAACTAAAATCTCGCATGCACTTAGCTATAAGCGATGTTCGTGCACTGTCAAACCAGCCAACAAACTGCCTTAGCTGGAATCGTTGAAACTTAAAATTTAGACGTTTGTTGTTTCCGAACCACGCGTACAAGGTCCTATTGCACATTGAGTTCTACAGTTACAATTTCATCCTTCCAATTCACTCTCCGTAGGTAGGTCCGAACACTTTGGAATCCGTGCCTCAGTGATCGCGGTAGTCGTCTGTCTCGCAAATCTCGAGCACAGCCCAGAAATGCTCGTCACAACTACGAAAATGATAACGCAGGTGGATGGCAATGAACATGTACTAGATTAACAAAAAAGCCATTCGGAAGTAGTGTGAACTTATCCGTTTATGTACTGTTCCGGTCCCTGAACATAGATACCTTTCGAGAATTGTTGCATAAAATAATCAAATGTACAGAGTTGACCAATCAGTGGACGAAAAGACCCAAGATGGGAAGACGAAAGATTTTAATTTTGATTTTTTTATTACTCAAAATCAAATAGTTTGAGGTAACTAAAGATCTGTGTGTGTTACAAACTTCGGGATGGCTTGAGTGTTAGTGTAGTTACGTATGGCACGTGTTTCACACCTTTGGCGTGTAAAATATGGCTATAGGACTGGGTTCGTCCAGCTCCAGACTAATGAAGCGAAAAGAGTCAAGGATAATGAAACTAAGACATGGCTTGGGAGCATGAAAACCCTGACTAGGAGACTCGTTCCTATAGGTTGCGTTAAGCTTCCTGGATGTAAACCTGGAAATATGTGCAATCAACGGTTGGAGTCGCGGAGCCGTATGTCGTGAACAGTGATGCTTATGTATCCAATCAGTTTCCTCGCCGTATCGTCTAGCATAATTCGCTGTTTTCTTTTCGATAGGGCTTCCAATCTTTCTACCCCTTTATTCAAGTGGGTAGCAATAAGACAGAAACCGAACCTGACAATTTTTTCGATTGGCTTTTACGAGTATGTGTCACAGAAATCGCTTTCCAGGCGAAAATTCACACCATGATCGAGAATCGCCACTGATTGTCTGCAACCGCCTTTTCGGTGAATGAGTTTCCACCCATACATGGTTAACAACCTAACTGGTATCTTCCCACCTATACTTGGCTTGCAACTCTTCTGGTTGTAGGCTTTAAGTAACCTATTATCTGTGATTCATTTATCATCATCGTTACATTCCCAAGAAATTGTGATCGATTAGCGTCCTATCATCTTAGTGTTTGGGCTGTTTACGATGTGCGGAACGAATGCATTGTTCAAGGTAGTTAAATGAAACAGTTTAATCACTAACCTTGAAATTTATACTGCAATAGGTGGTGCCGTCTTGATCCACCTCATTTTCCTAATTGTGGAAACTGTTTGCATCCATTTGAAAAAATTATAATTGTACCGTTTCATACGGGGGATAGTGAATGGCAGTGCTCGTTTATCACGCTAGATGTGTGCGCATGTACCGAAGCATAGAAGTTCCCGTAACAGGGCTCTAGAATACCTTCGTGCATGTGTTTAAATAGGTTATCATCACACTATCTACGTATGCGTTCCCCGTGATCAAGTGTTTTTTATATCCGCTTACTATTCACGGTGATAAGGTGCCTGGGGCTATTTTTCATTTAATGTTTGCTCGCGCGGTCAAGTCTTCGTCGTGTGCTGTGCTTAAACTGATCCAAAACGATCAGCGTCTTTGACTTCTGAGCTACTGCTGGAGTACTGTATTTCTCCGAGGTTCTGAGTCTCACCCACAGTAGAATCGGTTGAATAACTTGTAGGATCATTTTCAATCAAGACAACTAAGATTAACCTCTTAATATTAGTGTTGCGGTATCTGTTTTGGTCACTTACTCGTGTAAGAGAACTGGAAAGTGAATATTGATAACTTAAATTCCTTAATCACTTATCGGGTTTGTGGTATTTCAGTTAACTCTTTGTTCCGATTATTCGATTACGTTGTAAATTTGGTCTATAATATAGTGCAGTGGAGTTTACTGTGGGAGTTCACCTGTGCACACAAGGTTTCGGTTTATCCTGTACTCGGCATATGTCGTTAAGGTTTTCTATCTTTCTTGATAGGTTCTGTTCAAGCCAGATTTCGGGAAATGATTTCAAGTTCTGGTTTATCTTCCTTTAGATCTGTAAATGATCAAATATGATACTTTTGCTCTTCAGTCTCAAGTCACCTCAGGGGTCGTGTTGTTTCATGTTAAGCTTTCGCGATCATTCCAGTGAGTAATAGACCGCTCAGTTGCCTCATCGATACATCCTGCTCTTGAAGTTTTCTGTTCCACCTCAAGTCTCACATTTCATGTAGTGATGAATCTTTCAAATGCAGCCAGTTTATTCCTCGGATATCATACTCTGTCGATGTACAAAATTGCTTTGGCAGAAATTTTAGGTAAATGAGATAAAATATCCACGGAAAGAATTATTCTTCATGGAGTTAGTTTGTCACGGAAAAAAGTCGCGGACAATCAGTGTCAATCTGGGGACCTGGTTTTTTTTTTACCTGAGAAGCAATCTCTGCGAAAAAGCCGGCTTTCTCTAGAAAGCATCCAAAAGAGTGTGAAGCTAGCCCGCTGCCATATAGGATCATTGCCGCTACCGTGGTATCCCACCGACAACAGCGGTCTCTTCAAGGTATTGTGGCACATTCTCAAAGGGGTATGCTGAGTAGTACGGAGTTTGCCACCTGGTTTCGCCCTCTAAAGGTCATCCATAGATTCACCCAATAAACCGACGTATTGTCGCATGGTAAAAAGTAATCCAAAATAAATGAGCTAGGTATGTGGTTCCCTTGAGAACAACAGCACTGACCATGAAGATAATAAGAATAATGATAACAATGATACGCAATTAGCATCGAAATCCTTCTGCTCGTTCTGTTGTGCAATTGTTTGTTTAAAAAAAGTGATCATTTTTGTATTTTTACTAGGTTCGGTACTTTTTGTATCTAAATAAGTCAGTTTCTTGTGGTATCGGTTCCTGCAAACTGTGTGCCTGTGTTTTGTTTTTAGGCAACGAAAACTCCGGTTGATCTTGCCGAGCGTAAGGTTGATTCCTGTGAAGAAGCGGATGAAGGTGTGATCGGTTACGTTCGGCGTCGATCCGCTTCAAATGATCAAGTAGATGTGGATTCGCAGTCTGCACCAACTTCGGAGGGAGATCGGTGTGAAGGAGATCAGATAAAACTTAGTTCAGAAAAGGCACCATGGAAAGAATCTAAGTTGAGTCCTACCCATCGGGCTTCATTTGACCAAACTGGAAGATTTAGCTGCTGTGTTGCAGCTGCCCTCCTCCTTCGTCTAGTACTACTCGCCTTTTCTGTCTGGCAGGATGAAACACGCTGGCCTGACGGACAGTTACGATTCACAGATGTCGATTATGACGTGTTTTCCGATGCCGCTCGAGCTCTTATTCGAGGTGAAGATATTTACGAGGCACGTCCCACCTACCGGTATTCCCCTCTGATTGCAGCTATCGTCGCACCGGGATTTCTTCTCTCTTCTCCCCACAATGTTGAACACGTAAATTCGCCATCAGAATTCTTTTTTTATCCACCTCTGACTTCGTCCAACGTGTCTGCAATGAATCGTGGCAGCGATCCACTGTTTGCTAGGATATGGGGGAAATTGGTCTTCATCCTTGCGGATATCGTTTGTGCCTGGCTACAGTTTCAGATCATCCGCGTGGAAGCTCTGGTGAGTGAATAGCTTTGCTTCTTGGAAATTTAAGCCACGTCTCTGCTGAGTTTACACAACTATGGTGCCGTCCGTCAATTGCAAATTGTTTTTGTCAGGTTGTTTGGCAACCTTCAATGCGATTTATTCTGTTCCGTTCGACTTTTAGCTACTTAAATTATATCAAGTAGACAGAAAAACGCTGGCAATTTACTTGTTATCTGGTGAGTTCCTTGTACTATCAGAAAGACACATGTTTTTCTTTTACTACTAATGTGGCGGTATGATTCGTATAACTTTCAGATTCATATGATTTGGAACAATTTTGGAAACGGAGTACTAAAGCGTGTGAACGGAGAAGCAAAAGGAGAGACTGCTGCAGCACCAATCGGAAGTGTTATTTCCTCCATCGTAAAGAAATGAACCATGGAATCTTACATGAGAGAAATGAAGGATTTGGTTTGTTTATATGGAGAATTTCGCCATGTAAAGGGCAAGTGAAACCTAAACTGGATAGCTTTAAAGTACTGGACAGCTGTTTGGACCTGGTTGGGCCTATTCAGCTTTGTGAATCCATTGACCTAACCGGGGATCGAACCCGGGGCCTAATGCTGGGTGTAGTACTAAGATGTGCAAGGTGCGATTTCTGCATTAAGCTCGTGCGTAAGAAAGATGAAGAAAACCAGTCTGATGAGCTTCCTGGTGATAATTATCAAACCGCGAGGAACAGTAATTAAATTCTTTTTAGGTAGTCTAGGAAAAATAACGGGAGAACAATAAAGTATGGCAGGAAAACTGCATTGATAAACAAAAAACATATAGAACCAAATGATGTTAGGAGTGTATCGGAAATGGATGCCCCATGTATTGCTATTAGCATTATATTATTCACAAAAGAACATATAGCTTCATGCTTCACTCTTAATTGTCGTAGCTTTGTATCTAGAAGGATAAGCGATGCAGTCTACCTACAGAAGCTCGCACATGAGAAGACCACCGTAGATTACTATCTATGGTGACTCCTAGGTATTTGCTGGTATATGTTCTAGTGATGATTACAGAGTTAATGACTGAGGGATACTCGGATCGAGAATGCATAAAAATCTATTGGAAGCATTTAAAAAGACCTGATTGTTTCGAGAATAATTGCACTAGTAATAAGCTGTCAGAAAATGATTCTGTCAGATTGGTTTGAAATTGCTTGACATAAAAAGACAAAATCAGCATATTTAAAGGTTTTTGTGATGGGATAGGGGGTAAGTCACTGATAAAAGTTGAAAATAAGTATGGAGAAAGCTATATATATAGTACCCTACATAACTCCAGAATTATTCACTAAGGGTTTTGAAATACTGTCCTTTGCTTTCGTTCTTTGAATCCTTCCCGTGAAATAATCTTTCAACAACGA